CCTAGGTGCACTGGGACTCAGCCACAGTCCTTGCCGGCCAGCTTCCCAGGGTCCCCAGATCATACCCCGGGCTTCCCTCCCTCCCTCTGACAGAAGGCAGCCCCGGGCCGCCCTGTGGAGCTTTCCATCTGGCTTTTGTTCTGACGCTAAGAACTTTATAGTAAGATTTCAAATTGACTAAATTACAAGAGGCCTCTTCGAGTTTTTGCCTCGTGCATCTCTGTTGACCTACCTTGGGTGTTTGTCCTTGAAGAGTAAGGCCCAGGGAGACCACTGGGCAGAGCCCGTTTAAAGCACTAAGGCTGGTAGAAAGCCAGAGGTTAGAAAGGGCTCCCTCTGGCCATTTGAGGCAGAGCAGCAGAGTGGATCAAAACAACAGCTGGGTGCCCTTTGGCAAGTTGATTAACCTCTCTGAACTTCCTTTTGGCCTCCTCCATGGGATTGCTGTGCGTGTTCAGGAGACAGTGTTTGGAAAGTTCCGGGTATGCAGTAGGGGCTAAATGAGTGTATAAACATGATGTAGAGCCACAGGCTTTCATGTGGCCAAGGGGACCAATGCAAAACACTGCAGAGGATGCATAGGAGGGCAAACGAGAGTTCAAGGCCAAGCCTGCACCGCTCCCCCTTCCCCAAGCCCCCCCTCCCCAGTTTCAGTGCTCAGGTCTGGTGACACATCTGAGAAGCCTGGGGCTTCCTGGCGCAGGAAGGAAGAGAAGCCGTGGAGAATCCTCTGGAAGCAATGACTAGGAAGCCCTTTCTTGACAAAGGCCCTCGGCGTCCATGTAGAAGTGACTGGCTCTTCCCGGGAGGCGGCCTCCGGGCCTAACTGTGCCCCTGTCTTGCAGACCCCATGATGGAGCTGACGGGCACTGACCCCTCCGAGCTCGACAGCCAGCAGGAGATGGAGGACTTCGAGAACGCCTACGCCTACGCCGGTGTGGATAGCAGCGCCGAGGCCAGCGTCCTCACCGAACAGGCCATGAAGGAGATGGCCTACTACAACGTGCTATAGCACAAGCTGGGCCGTCCAGAGGGGGCGGGGAGGGCGGGGGACGTGGGGGGAGACCCACGTGCTGCGGGCCACCCCCTCCCGCAGCGGAGAAGCTACTGCCCCACTGTCCTAAGCCCTCCTCCCCTCCCACTGAGTCGTTTGCACCACTAGGGACTTGTAGACCAAATGGAGACTGTACTGGCCTCAGCTGTGACCCAGGCACAGGCCCCAGGCAACTGGGGAAGGAAGGAGAACACAGGGGGCCCAGCTCTGGGTCGCCCTGGCCTGCTGCTGCGGGAGAGTGGGGAAAATGCTGGCGGGGGCCATATGGGGCCAAGACAGTAGGGCCCGGGTCCTCAGGTCTGTCCAGGCCCCACAGAGCTGGGGCAGTGGTGTGGGCGGGGCCTCCTGATAGCTCCTCAGGGGTCCTGGCACTGGAGGAAGACAGAGCTTGAGCCTGGCCTTGTTTCCTTTCCCCACCAACTCCTGCCTCTAGGGATGTCTGAGCTCCTGTGCTGGTCAGCATTGCCCGCCCCACCCCTGCCCTATCCCCCAACCAGGCCCTGGGCTGGGAAACGCTCAGGCCCCAGAGCCCCCTTCCCCACTTCATCCGTCAACAGCCAGGCAGGGCCCCCTGCCTTCTACCTCCTGGTGCCTCCCACGCTCTCTGGAGCCAGGCATGCATGCAGCCCGGTCCTGGCCTCAGGAAAGCGGGGTATAGCCCAGCCCCCAGCCGGTGTCCTCCCCAGCCAGCCCCCCGAAGGCCCCCACCTTCCAGCAGTTTGAAAGTGGGTGTCCCTAAAGTAGATTTCAGCAGTTGTCATCCAGTTCCTTGCTGAACGGGTCACTGCACCGGGTCCCCCAACGTTGAGTAGAGCAGGGACGTGCCTTTGGCTGGGCACTCGCTAAGCAGACGGAGGCCCCTCGAATGAGGGGCAGGGGACCGAGAGGGGCTGTCCTCAGAGGCGGCCCAGGACCACCTTGGGGTTGCTGGGGTGCTGTATTATTGACAAGTATCCGTGTTGAGGAAGTGGACAGCCAAGAGTCAACAGGTTCCCAAGAAGAGCCACTTAGTTAAAAAGAAAATGAAGACCATAGAGAAAAAAAAAATTTTTTTGAGCAAATGGGGTATTTTGAAGGTAATTTATTTTTTTTCCTTGCCACTTCTGTGTCGCCTGTTCTTTTCTGATGGAGATCATTTTCTTTTTCCAAATGGAAGCTCCCTCATGTGCTGTGCGTGCTTCGTGCCTGCCCAACCTCGAGCGGGCGGCTGGCGGGGCAGGGCTCGGGCGTGGAGGGGACGGGCTGCCAGCAGGGAGCCTCGGGGCCGGGGCAGGAGGCGGGAGGCCGAACCGGGCAGGCCCTTGGCCCCCGCCCGGCCCCTCCAGCCAGTGACTCGCGCGGCACCAGTGGCAGGAGCCGCTTGGTTCTGCTCAGCCGGCGGCTCGCTCCCTCGCTTGCCCGCTCTCCTGGCCTCTGTCCCCGGGGCCAGCTGCCGCCCCAGGAACTGAAGACAGGCCGCCTGAGGCATGAAGTAGCACATTCAGGAACCGCTAGGGCACCCGGACTCCTGCCCACTCGCCTCCCGAGGCCTCGGTGGGGAGGGGCAGGCGGGGCTGTCCCCAAAGGCACGAAGGAGGCGAAGCCACCAGCTTCAGCCCGGAAACCAGGAAAGGAGGGGTAACCGCTGGGGAGGACGGGAGGACCAGCCAGAAATGCAGCTGCCCCCAAAGCTGTATCCTTAGTGAAGGACCAAACCAGGCTTCAGGGTGGCCGTGATCAGGACTGAGGGGAGGACAAGGTGGCCTCGCGAGCAGGCAGTCAGGTGCCCCTTCCTTCTCTGCTAAGCCTCCCGCTAAGAGGCAGCAGACGAAAGGGCTGGGGGCTCACGGGAGCCTTTCCCCTCCAGAACCCCGAGGCCCTCCCCCCGGCCCCCCAGGTGCCCGCCATGATGACCCTCAGGTGGCAGTGACCCCGTCACTGTAGAAGACATTTTCTCCTGCTGAGCAGAAGCCTCACCCCCTGCAAACTACCTCTTCCCACAATGTCTTTCTCCCCTGGTACCAAAAAGAACCCTGTACCTCCTCGTCCTCCTCCTCTTTCCTGCCAGTGCAGTGGCCTTGGTCGTGGAAACCCAAGGGAGAAGGTCTGGCCCCCAGGGTGGGGCTGTCCTTTCCTCCCACAGCCCTGCCATCAGCACCGGCCCTCTGCGAGGTTCGATACTTGAACGCCCCCCTGCCCTGTGCCTTGGACCCGGGCAAATCGAAGAGAAGGAAACGGCACAACTCACACACCTGAGCTGGGGGGTGGTCTCGGCAAGGCTCCTGTCCTCACCCCTCCCCCGACCTTTCAAGAGAGGCACCCGCGCGGCCTCTTGGGTGACTTGGAAACTCCTGGACAAATTCCATCCTAACTTATTTTGACGTGTATACAAACCACCTGTTTAGAAATTCCACTTGTGCAAAGCCCTACTGTGTTTTTATGTTCCTGTTTAAAAGAGAAGTTTACTTAGCAATAATTATAAATAAATGAATATTCTTTAGCGAGGTGACTGTGAGTGCTTCTTCCCCTGGTTCTTGAGGACTCGGTCCTCACCCCTCCCCCACAAGGAACCCGCAACAAGGCTTCCCAAACCCCGCACAGCTGGGGGATCGCTCTCCAAGGAGGGGAAGAAACCCAGACCATCCTTTACCTCATTGGGGGTGGCCACCTGCAAGGGCCAGGCACCTACCAGGAGCTGTTCCCAGAGCCCCCCCAAGAGCTAAAGGCCCAGGCCCCAGAATTCCCACCACCTGCAGAGGAAAGCTGCTTCCCCTCCTGACCTACCAACAGGGCACCAGGACCGAAGCCAGCTCACGATGCCAGACTGCACTCGGAGGCTGCCAGCTCCCTGTGATGGGCAAGAAAGGGCCGGAAACCTTGCACTTTGCCCCAGGAGATGGGCCTACACGGAGCTAGCACACTAGCTTTCCTCCTACAGCCCCAGGGAGTTCAGTGGGGTTGGTGAAGGGAGCAAGTAGTCCCTCGACCAGATGGAGGCCACTGGAGCGAGTGGGGACTAGAGCCCATCTCCAGGCTCCCAAGGTCCCAACTGTCCAGTGTCAGGAGCCAGGAGAGTCCCCCGGAGACTGGGGAAATGGACTTAAGGTTGCCAAGTATTTATTGTAGCAAGTGAACGGGACCAGACACCAAGTCGAACGCAATCCCTGCATGAAAGCCAGCCCTTCCGACGGTCTCTCCAGCTTTACAGCAATAATTTGATCATCTTACCTTTCCAGTTTTGCCAAAGAACAGTGAAGATGAACCCGAGTCTGGGACCCAGTGGTCTAGACTGCGTGGGGCCCCCCCAGTCCGGGTCCGAGCCCCAAGCCCCAGGCAGCTGTGGAGGGGACGTAGGGGCAGCTGCTGTGTGGGATCCATTTTGAAGACCAAGAAAAGGCCACAGAAAGAGGTCTGGAGATGTTCAGGTTAGAACCAACAAAGTAAAAAACCAAAATCTCACGGGAAGTGATGGCAATCCCAAAGCAGAGAGAGAGGAGGGTACAGTAACAGGATTGTGCTAGGTCATTCCAGGGAGCCCAGAGGCCTGCACGCCACAGGTCCCAGCGGCTCGTCCGGTAGCTATGAGGGAATTCAGGACACTCACGCTGCTGCCTGGTCCCCTCCCCTCGAGGTGGCCCTTGACGGATGGAGGCCCGGGACACAGGCCTGCGGTGTCCCTGTCTGTCCTGGGTACAACCTACCAGCCCTGGAGGCCCTCTGTCTCCGGGGCCCGGGCTGGGCGGCCTCCTTCCCCCGGGCACAAACACAGCAGCCGATTTTTGTGAAGAGTGTTTTAGTAGCTAAATGTGGCACCGTGTGTTCCAAGGGCAATATAAATTACAGTATGCAAAACACACTGACGGGCTGAGGTAAAACACACTGTTCCCTCACATCACCATGAGGGGAAACACAAAGATATTAAAAACATCTTGCTTATAAAAAATGTCCCCTAGAAAGGCCTGGGGGGTGGGGGGGGGGTCACTCAGCAGCCAGCTTGGCCCGGCCCAGCCCCCACTAGTGGCCCAGAGCCTTGTCCAGGTTGTTCTTGATGGTGTCCAGGAAGTCGGAGGTGTTCAGGAAGTGCTCGTTCAGCTTCACACTGCCAAGAGAACATGGTTCGCATGAGAAACAGCTCCCGTCAGGCCCTTCCAGGGCAGAGCCGGGACTCAGGAACCTGGGCCTGGGGGCGGGGGGGCTGCCCTCCTGGGCCTGCGGGGAGCAGCGCACCCAGGCCACCTGTCAGAGGCTGCCTAGAGCCCACCGTGGCCAGGAGTTGAGCAGGCACTCGTACGGAAGGGGAGGGCAAAGCTCGAGCCAATAGGGATGGGGACAAACTCACTGGGCCTCAGGACTGTGGACCTGTCCCACCTCAGGCCCTTGGCAGTGAAGCCCATTCCAGAAGCAGCCTCCAAGAGGAGCCTCGGGCTTCTCCCCACCCAGCCCTGAGGTCCCCGAAGGCCAGCCCCACCCTCTGCCACAGGCCACTCACTTGCTGAGGCCATGGATGCAGCCCGCCAGGTCCTTGGTCATGGCTCCGCTCTCCACTGTCTGGACACACACTTTCTCCAGGGTCTGCGCAAACCTGCAGGCGGTGGGGCAGAGTGAGGCCCCAGCTTACGGAGCCTGGGCCCGGACCCCGCCCTGGGCCAGCGCAGGCCCCCTCCTGCTCCGCTCACCTGATGAGGTCCTGGTTCCCATCCAGCTTCCCCCGGTGCTCCAGGCCACGTGTCCAGGCAAAGATGCTGGCAATGGGGTTCGTGCTGGTAGGCCGGCCCTGGGGGGGTAGGGGCAGGGGTCACAGGGGGCTCAGGAGCCAAACAGCCGACAAGGGGGCCACCTGGATGCAGGTGCCCACCCCCAGACTGACAAGCCAGACCCAGCTTCCCAGTGGGTCCTGAGCCCCTGGGGTAGAAGCGCATGTGACCACAGTCTTCCCACTCACTTTCTGGTGCTCTCGATAGTGGCGGGTGACCGTTCCATGAGCAGCCTCGGCCTCGATGGTCTTCCCGTCTGGGCAGACCAGCACAGACGTCATTAGGCCAAGGGAGCCAAAGCCTGTGGATGGGAAAGGCCCTCCTTTCAGTGCCAACACCACTCCGCAGACCACTGGGTTGAGCCCACCTGCCCTCCTGCTTGGGAGCTGCCTCTCAGCTCAGGACCCCCGACGATGCCTGGGAGGACAGCCCCCGTTTCTGGCTCGTCTACCCTTGTCATGGGTCTCCGGAGCCCCGTACAGGGCATCGGGTGTTCATCAGCCTGTGAACATACATCTGTGTCCCCGCCGCCAGGTGCCCCCGAGCCTGTGGCCTCCAGGGCCCCCGATCCTAAGAGTTTCATCCCCCCATCGCCCCGTGCCAGGCTCATACCCAAACAGCCCGTTCAAGCAGAGAGCAGACGACTGCATAACCATCACTTTTATCCACTGCTCTTTTAGGTGACTTTAAACTTGAGACTTAATCCAAATCTTCCCAAATCCAGATGTCAACCTTTCCTTTGGTCAAGGTCTCCTGGGGTTCAAAAGCACCCCATGGCACCAAAATAAGAATTCTAAATCCCAAGAATTAGAAAAAAGTGAAAAAAAATTTTTTTACTGGGGCACCTGGGTGACTCAGTGGGTTAAAGCCTCTGCCTTCAGCTCAGGTCATGATCTCAGGGTCCTGGGATCGAGCCCCGCATTGGGCTCTCTGCTCTGCGGGGAGCCTGCTTCCTCCTCTCTCTCTGCCTGCCTCTCTGCCTACTTGTGATCTCTGTCTGTCATATAAATAAAAGAGTAAATGCCAAAAACTTATAAAAAATATTTTTTATTAATTTTATTTGTCAGAGGGCTAGCGACAGCACACGCACAAGCAGGGGGAGCGCCAGGCAGAGGGAGAAGCAGACTCCCTGCTGAGGAGGGAGCACAATGCAGGGCTCCATCCCGGACCCGGAGATCATATCCTGAGCTGAAGGCAGATGCTTAACTGACTGAGCGACCCAGGCGTCCCAAAAAAGTAAAAAACTTCTTTAAGAAAACTAGTTGTCTAAGGGGTACCTGTGTGGCTCAGTCAGTTAAGAGTCTGCCTTCGGCTCAGATCATGATCCTGGGGGGTCCTGGGATGGAGCCCCATGTCGGTCCCTCTGCTCATTGGGAAGCCTGCTTCTCCCTCTCCCTCTACTCAACCCCTTGCCCCCCATCCCACTTGTATTCTCTCACTTTCTCTCAAATAAATGAATTAGTAAAAAACTTTTGTTAAGATTTTATTTATTGGACGGAGACAGCAAGAGAGAAAAAGCACAAGCTCGTGGAATAGCAGAGGCAGAAGGAGAAGCAGGCTCTCCACTGAGTAGGGCTTAACAACTGAGCCACCCAGGTGCCCCAATAAATAAAATCTTTAAAAAAAAAGAAAAAAAAAGGCTGGGGGGGGGGGCCGCCTGCGTGGCTCAGTGGGTTAAACCTCTGCCTTCAGTTCAGGTCATGATCTCAGGGTCCTGGGATCAAGTCCCGCATCTGGCTCTCTGCTCTGCGGGGAGCCTGCTTCCCCCTCCCCCTCTGCCTGCCGCTCTGCCTACTTGTGATCTCTCTGTCAAATAAATAAATAAAATCTTAAAAAAAAAAAAAGAATGTCTGTGGCTGGGGGGAAGGTGTCTCTTCTCTGTGTTTACTGGACCCTCACACTCACCAATTCCTTATTACTTAAGGGTAAGTTTCATGCCTTTCTCTTGTCTGCTATGTCTTTTCATCCTTCCCTCCTAGACAGGAATTGTTCTAGCAAGAGGATCACCACTGCACTTACTGAAATAATAAAGCCAAAGGTTTTTATAAAGCATCAGGCCCCTAGGCTTTTTCCTCACAACCTGGGTGGAGTTCACTTTCCTCCTTATCAGGAGCTAGACTTCAGCCCATCTCTTGTAACCTTGCTTCTCCTCCCTTTCTGTACTTCCCCTGTTGTCAACTCCCACAGCCTTTCCAGCTCTCATTCCCAACAGGACTGGGCTAGTTCTCACACTACCTATCTGACGGCCTCATTCACACTCCTGCTGCAATCCAATTTGTCTCGTAAGACACTCCAGGGCTTGGGGCTTTGCCACCTTCCCCAATACTCTGCATCCAACAGATTTACTGTGCAAAATGAATTCTCTGTGCCTCAAAAAGCACCCGGTTGTGCTCAATCCCATTTTTCTCCCAGAGCCAAACCTAGCCCAAACCCGGAGCCACAGTCACCTGGCCTATGGACAGGGACAACCTCAAAGCTGACACACCTAGCCCTTTAGAACTTGAATTCCTACGTTCTCCTCTTCTCTGTTAACAGTAGCCTTAGTAATGCACTAGTCCAAACCTAATTTGGGAAGCCTTCCTCCCTCAGATGTCAGAGTTCCTGCCCCCTGCTGTCCATGGGAAACCCTGCAATGAGCCAGTGGGCCACACAGAGAAGTTTTCTACGAAAAGGGTCTGAAAAATCCCGCAGCCAGAGAAGACCAACAACCCACCCCCTTGGGGAACAATGCTCCCAGCATACCCTGCGCCAGGATGTCCGACTGCACATCTCCGTCATAGTTCTTGCAGGCCCACACGAAGCCGCCCGAAGACTTGAGGACCTGAGCCACCATGTCATCAATGAGCCGGTGCTCATACCAGATCTTATTCTTGTCAAAGTCAGTCTTGTAGTGCCTGGGGGCAAAGGGGCCTGTTGTGGGGAGACGGCGGGAGGCTGATAGGTTGGGGCTCTCCCCCCAAGCTCAGAGCTGAGCCAAATGCACTGGGACAGTGGCCCCCCTGTAGGCTGGGGACTAGGGGACAGGCCAGAAAGGCTGTGGAATCCTTAGGGAGCAATAAAGCGAGAGGCTGTTACTTCTCAAAGATCTCCTGGAAGATGTCCTTGAAGCGCCCGTCGTAGGCTTTCAGGATGGTGTTCTTGGTGCTCATGTAGAGCGGCCACTTCTTCTGGATGGCGTACTGGAAGCAGCTGTGTGCGAAACCCGAGATGGACTGCAGGGGGAGAGAGAGAGGTCCCTGGTGTGCTCCCCAGCCTGGGGACTGCCAGCCTTTTCTGGTCACTGGGCACCAGGCCCGACCCCTGGAGTGGCATCCCTTCCCTCCACACCACCCGCCCTGACACCCTGGAGGGAGCAGCAGCTGTTTCTACTGGCCCAGCAGCCTCCTCCCAACTTCTGGGAGAAAGCAGCCCCTCAAGTTTGCTTTGGGAAACTACCCTCCTCTCCCCAGTTCTTAGACCATATGGCTGGGGTGGGTCTCATTCTCCCCGTCCACCTGCCTGTCTCTAGAATGTACCGGTGTCCGGGCTCATCCTCTCTGAGCCCTCCATGACTGGCTCAGAGGTGGTCCTATGCCCAGGCCAGGCACTCTTGGCAGAACCATGAACAAAAAGGCTCTTTTCTGATAGGGCAACGAAGTTGGCAGGGGACAAGCCTGGGGTTCCTTGTGGCCACTTCCTCACAGCCAGAGAATGAGGGCAACCACGGAAGACATGAAAGCCAAGAGTTGGGGAAGGGGAAATGCTTATCCAGCTGGCTAAGCCAACCATGCTGCCAACTAACGTGACCCCGGGAGTGTGTCGGGAGAAGGAGCACAGGAGGTCGTGGGGTCGGAGAAGGAGCACAGGAGGTTGGGGTGTCGGGAAAAGGAGCACAGAAAGTTGGGGTGTTGGAGAAGGAACACAGGAGGTTGGGGTGTCGGGAGAAGGAGCACAGAAAGTCGGGGTGTCAGGGGAGCACAAGAGGTCAGGGTGTCGGGAGAAGGAGCACAGAAAGTCGGGGAGCGGGCAGCTCACTAAGCAGGAGTCTTCCCGCCCCACTCCGCCCCAGGCACACTGCGGGCTCCCCTGAACGTGTCCTGGTTGCATTTGCTCACGGGCCTCAGACCTGCCTCAGCCACGAACGCAGGGGGAGTGAGAACCCACAGTCCGCAGCGGCCCAAGAGGGGTCCAGGCTCGGGGAGGGGTGCACTCAGGAGCCGCACGGGGGCCTCACCTCGTCGGTATTGTACATGCCCATCCCCACGCCGCCGCCAGGGAAGTTGTACACCTCCCACTCCTTCGTGCCACTGCCGTCCTTCGGGGAGAAGACCATCTTGAACGTGCCAGCCCGGTCCACCACAAAGTCCGTGGCCTTGTACTACGGAGACGAGAACGCGGCTCAGGCCGGGGGGTCCAGGTGACGGTGCCCCGGCCAGTACGAGCCCACCCTCGCCAGCACCCACCTGGTCGCCGTGGGCATGCCTGCCGATGGTGATGGGCTTGGTCCAGCCCGGGACCAGGCGGGGGATGTTTTTGCAAATGATGGGTTCCCGGAAGACGGTCCCCCCGAGGATGTTCCGAATGGTCCCATTGGGACTCTTCCACATCTTCTTCAGCTTGAACTCTGTGAGGACAGAGTCAAAGTGGCCCCGCTGCAGCCCCCACCTTCCAACCAAAATCTGAACCCTCAGCAAGAATGCAGCCAGACGGGAGCCCTGGAAGTCGGCCCGGGGCCGTCTGGGATACCAATGTGCGGGCTGTGGGATCAGATTTCTTGGCTTCTGGGTCTAACTCCACCACCTCAAACTGTGAATTTTATGCAAGTGGCTTAACCTGAGCTGGAAAATGAAATGATTGCTAAAACACTTAGCCTTTGGGCAATTAAATAAACTTAGAAATGGCTAGCATCTGCTGTTTTTCCCACATCACGCTCAGATGCAGCAGCACCTGGCCGGACTGCAGACGTGCCCTTCCAGCCACCAGGTCCAGCCCACATTACTGAGAGGGTGACTCCCTACTTCCTTGTCCACAAAACAGGGATGCGTAAATCCCAGGAGTCTGGAGAAGTGAGAGAAAAACTGCAAAAAGAGCTTCACACTAAGATAATTCCAACAGCCTATGGTCAGGTTTCCACCTGAAAGACAGGAGGAGCTCTGGGGCATTTGGAAATGGGCATTTGGAAACGGGCCTTGAATGCCTCCTCCCAGAGCCCTCACACTGCAGGACGTAGCAAGAGAGAAAGAATTCTGCAAACCCCTAAGCCACTCTTTCTCGAATTTTCCAAACCTGGCCCCTCTGTCCACACAATGGTCCCCGAGTTCATGGAACCCTTGAAAGTGGTCGCCAGAACCAGGGCCCAGCAGCCAGTCCAAGCCTGGTGAGGACACCTCTCTGAGACCCTTCCCTGGCCACAGAGCTGTGGTGCCAAGACGGTGGTGAGATATAAGCCAGAGAGAGAGCCCTGAGGCTCTCAAGGATACATGCCTGACACAGAGCACTCTGCTGGACAGGGGTGGCCCCAGTGTCTCCTTAAACCTGCCTGCGGAACAGTCTAGAAGGCCAGAGGGGCAGGCTGCCCAGAGAGCCTGTCCTTACTATAACAGCATCAGCATGAACTTCCTCCTCACTGTCGCCAATGACCCCTACCCCGGCCAGAGCCACACAGCACAGCACAAACACCACAAACCTGGTAGCACCACCCCACCCAGCCTCATCTGCAAGAACCCCTAGGGTTCCCCTATCCTCCAGGCTGTTGCAGGGAGACGGGGCTCATGGCACAGCCCCCACTGCCCCGACCCACCCACCTCCACACCCTCACACCTTCCACACGGGCCTCATCGGGGGTGATGGTGGCACACTTGACGGCCACACTGTACTTCTGGGTGGCCAACGCCGAGTCTATGGTGACCTGGTCATCGGTCTGGTCACGGTGTGGGAGCCCCAGATCGAAATACTTGAGCTGGACGTCCACATGGGGTAGGATGAGCTAGAGACAGATGACCAGGGCAAGGCATCAGTGTGTGTGTGTCTCAGGAGCTTGTAAGGGCCATAGCACAGGACACCCAGGAAGGGCAGGATGAGGGAAGGGGACAGCATGGCAGGGGGGCTGGGATCAGCCATTCCTCAGAGGGGCCAGGAGGAAGTTGTCAGGATGCCAGGGCTCTCTGGAAAGAGGCCAGCGGACCAGGCTGCAGCCCCTCAGAGGACCCAGCCCCTAGCATGGACTGCAATGGCCCACAACTCGAGATGTATCTAGATTTCTCCGTACAATGGGTTCCCTCTTCTTCCCCGTTCAGAAGTGGCCATTCTCGACCTTTTTCTTACAGACACACACACAATACAGGACAGGGGTCTTTACATGGACAACAAGCTCTCCAGGCAGATCCAGACCACGAGACTCTGGAGAAGCCCAGCAGCCATGCTGGGAGCCATCTGCCATGATGCCTCAGACCCGTTGCTGTCAGGACACACCACAGCCCCGACCCCAGATAACGTCCCTGAACCACTCAGGAAAGGTGAGCACCCACCCTGCTCTTTCCACTCCCTTGAGAACGCCCATTGGACCGTGGGACATCAAGACGGACACCATACAGGATGCCTTGAGTGTGCACCCCCATTCTGGAAAACACGCGGGCTTTGGCACCGGCACAAGACAGATGGCTGAGGAAGGGCCACTGCCCGACGTCGTGAAAACCATGCATGGTGTGGACATGACAGCAAGGTGGATGGAAGGATGGAAACGGGGCTGCGGCTGCCCACCAGGGTGGCACGTGAGCCCCGGGGGCTGTCACAGGGATCAGGGGCCGTGCGGAGAGCCACCCGCTTTGGGAGGGGCTACCTTCTCCTTGATGAACTGCCAGATGATCCGGGTCATCTCGTCGCCGTCCATCTCCACCACCGGCTTCGCCACCTTGATCCTCTTGTCGGCATCTGGAACCAGGCACACACAGTGATCACAGCTCTAGGAGGCTCGCGGGGGAGCCCTTCTCCTACCTGGCCGGACTTGCCCTTCACCAAGGAGGGAGCAGTGTCAGCCAGGACCCCATTACCCACGTCCCCTCCCCCTCCGCAGGAGCAGCTCCCCGGCCACCTGAGGGGCCTGGATTCCCCCACCCAGGACAGATGCCCAGGACTGGCCAGCAGGATGCCAGTCTGGCCCATCAGACCTCTGCAGAAACCAACACAGAGCCTAACAGCCAGCTGGGGCCACCCCATCCAGCAGTAAGTCAGGGAGGGACACCTACGAGCCACTGCCACCCCGTTCCCAGTTACACCGCTTGAAGACAACACATCCAGGATTCACACCTTTCGAAATCCATGGAAGGCATAGGCTTAGGGCACCTGGAACAGAACTCAGAATCCTTGAGCCAAGCTGGCTCAGGGGGCCAGTCCTGTCAGAGAAGCATCTGAGGTCCAGGGAGATGGTAGAGGACAAGAGAAGGGGGGGGGGGAGGCTCTCCAAAGAAAGTCTGACTCACGAGACAAACCAATAGTCTGAGCAGTGAATTCCAAGGAAAACTCAAGGAAACCGCCCACCCCCTTCAATCAGCACAGGCTACCTGCGATGAACCTTAGCCTGTAGCAGACAGAGAGGTATCCTGTTCCAGCACGTCGCTCTGCCCACAGCCGGGGAAGAAGCAGGGCCTCCAGAGTCAGGCAAGCGGGTCTGTGTAAAACCTACAGTCGGGCCTCTGTCACCAGAAAGCTCAACAGGAGGAGGACAGCTGAGAGCGGGACTCTGTCCCCAGCAGCCGCCTCAGCCCTCACTCAGGGCCCACGGACTCTTACGTTGCACACAATCCTTACAGACACTGTTCTGGGTCTTCCGCCTCACCAGAGATTAGACAGCAAGTCCCAAGAGGGGACCAGGACATTCACTTAAAAACACCAGAAGTGACCACCGCTGGGAGGCTGGCAAGGGAAAGAAATCTCTGAAAAGCAGGCCTGAGACTAAACAAGCAGGACCACCTACGCACCTTTAAAACAGAAATGACCAAAACCCCACAACCGCAAGCCTATCACCGTCCTACAACACGCACCAGCGTGTGACTGACTCATGCTGACATCCCCGGCCCGCCAAGAAAGAGGTGAATTATGTGCAGCAAAAATGACTCACTTTCCAAAGATGTGCACAGATTTTTTTTTAATCTAAAAATAATCTCCCAAGGATATGCAAACAGATTTTTTTTTTAACCTAAAAAGAATGGGAGAGATTATTTAGGAAGAAAAATGAGACCCAGGGAGTGTGGCTTGTGTCAGAAGTCAGACTAGATCCCAGGTCTCTGGTTGAAGAGTGGCTCTGGACACCCTCGTGGGTCACACGCAGAGAAGCGCAGAGCAAACACAGACTCCAAACATTCTGTTCCCTAGAGAACAAGGCGGACGCAGCTGGCTGGTGGCGATCTACCACCCCTTCCAGGACGCGAAGGGGCCTTTGGACCCAAGTTAAAAAATTCCTCCACCATTCTTGGTTGAAAGCTTGAGTATGGGGACGCCTGGGTGGCTCAGTTGGTTAAGCAGCTGCCTTCGGCTCGGGTCATGATCCCAGAGTCCTGGGATCGAGTCCCACATCAGGCTCCTTGCTCATCAGGGAGCCTGCTTCTCCCTCTGCCTCTGCCTGCCATTCTGTCTGCCTGTGCTCTCTCTCTCTCTCTCTCTGGCAAATAAATAAATAAAATCTTAAAAAAAAAAAATTAAAAAAAAAAAAAAAAAAAAAAAAAGAAAGCTTGAGTATAAAAGGGCTTTAGGAACTGCAGAAAGTCTACTGGGCTGTTGTACAGCCAGCTTAGTTTTTAAGAGCATCTCTTATGAGTTAATGTCATGAGAGCGAATGAAGATTTTTTTTTTTTAACTGTACTGAATCTGCCGTAATTATAATCCCAAAGGAGAATTCATCTGGGGCCAGTCCTAAAGGTTTCAGCCTCACCTGGGCTCCACTCAAGTTTTGGGTTTCAGACACAGTAACCTGTGGGCCGTGGACACCCTGCACTCAGGGCTCAATGTCAAGATCACAGCGGGCAGCCCTCCCTGCTGTGCCGGCAGGTGTCAAACCCTAAGAGAACACAGGGCCCACTTATTTACAACCAGGTGTTAAGTACCTCTTCCTGAAACACTGAGAAAAACCTAACAGTGGCAGGCCTCAAGGAGTGAGTATGTAAGGGGAAACCTACAGATGGAGAGAGCGAGCAAGCAGGGGCTATTAACAGAGGCAGGAGTGGGGCGCTGGAAGGCTCAGTTGGTTAAGCGCCTGCCTTTGGCTTCAGTCATGATCCCAGTGTCCTGAGATCAAGCCCCACATCGGGCTCCCTGCTTAGCCAAGACCCTGCTTCTCCCTCTCCCTGTGTCGGCCGCTCCCCTTGCTTATGCTCTCTCTCTCACTTGCTCTGTCAAATAAATAAATAAAATCTTTAAGGGAAAAAAAAAAAAACCACAAGTAGAGCCTCCCTGAAAGCACACTTGCCAGAGATGGGAGCAGCCATGGGAGGCAAAGCAGCAGAGGCTTGGGGCACCTGGGTGGCTCAGTCAGTGTAGCAAGCAACTCCTGATCTCAAGGTTGTGAGTTCAAGCCCCACACTGGGCATGGAACCTACTTTAAAAAATAAAATAAAAACCACCAACAATGGGGCACCTGCATGGCTCAGTGGGTTAAAGCCTCTGCCTTCGGCAGGGAGCCTGCTTCTCTTCCTCTCTCCCTGCCTGCCTCTCTGCATACCTGTGATCTCTGTCTGTCAAATAAATAAATAAAATCTTAAAAAAAAAAAAAACAACAATTACAAAATCATGAAAAATTTACAAAAAAAAAAAAGACACTGCTCAGGTAGGGTTTCTAAAAATATATTAATTGGTGACCAAGGTTTTAAAATCAGGTGATTTCAAACAACAATAACAACACATAACCAATTAATAAATGGGCAAAGGACTTGAATAGGTATTTATTCAAAAATGATACATAAATGGAGGGCTCCTGGGTGGCTCAATGGGTTGAGCCTCTGCCTTCGGCTCGGGTCATGATCTCAGGGTCCTGGAATCGAATCCCACATTGGGCTCTCTGCTCGACGGGAAACCTGCTTCTCCCTCTCTCTCCACCTGCCTCTCTGCCTACTTGTGATCTCTCTCTCTCGCTGTCAAATAAATAAATAAAATATTTTTTTAAATGATATATAAATGGCCAATAAGCATATGAAAAGTCACCCCACAGTACTAATCATTAGGGAAATACAAATGAAAATCACAATGAGATACCACCTCACACCCATGAGGATGGCTACTATCAAAAAACACAAACTAACTTAACAAACCTACCCCAAACAGAAAACAACAGGTGCTGGTGAGGATGTGGAGAAACCAGAATCCTGTGTAAGACAGCTGGTGAGAATGGAAATGTTGCAGCCACTATGGAAAACAGTATGATGGTTCCTCAAAAAATTAAAGATAGAAAAAAAAATTAAGGATAGAATGGCCATATTGTCCAGGGGCCCCCGGGGGCTCAGTCGGTTAAGCATCCAATTCTTGATTTTGGCTCAGGTCATCATCTCAGGGTGGGGAGACAGAGTTGGGGGTGGGGGGTACTTGGGCTCTGCTCTGGGCATGAAGCCTGCTTGGGATTCTCTCTCTCCCTTTCCCTCTGCCCTTCCCCCCTTAAAAAAAAGAAAGAAAAGAACTGCCACACCGTCTAGCAATCCCACTTCTAGATATATATCCAAAATAATTAAAAGCAGGGTCTTAAAGAGATATTTGTACACTCATGTCCATAGCAGAATTATTCACAACAGCCAAGAGGCAGAAGCAACTCAAGTGTCTGTCAAGGAACGAACGGATGAACAAAATGTGACAGGAGCCTTGGAAAGAAGACTCTGGAAACAAATCCAGGAAGGTTAAGAGAAACATCCCTCTAAATGTTAAACAATGTTCCTAATTCCAAGTTTCTCCAAGACTGGGGTCCTCACCACTCAAATGTAAATGGACTTGCTCGGAAGCTAAAAAAGGCAACACTGCCAAGGTTTCTGACAGCGATGGATGGGATCTGGAGCTAAGTCAACAGCTTTTGCTGCTCAAGTTCTTTAGGTTCAAATTCCACAAAGTCCGTTTCCCCCCGGATGGCCCACAGACTCATCATGTGGAATACTTACACAGACAGACAGCACCGCTACATCCCAAACACTTCCAATCCAGCTGCAAGTAACATACATAAGAGGTAACTTACTAGAAATTAGAAGCAGTAATAAACACGCAAGGAATTAATAACCATACTGCCTATGCTTTTCCCAATTCCTGTACCTTACTCAGAAGGTCAACAAATTTCAGATGGACTTTTTTTTTTAAGATTTTATTTATTTGACAGACAGAGATCACAAGTAGGCAGAGAAGCAGGCAGAGAGAGAGAGGAGGAAGCAGGCTCCCTGCTGAGCAGAGAGCCCAATGTGGGGCTCCATCCCAGGACCCTGGAATCAAGACCTAAGCCGAAGGCAGAAGCTTTAACCCACTGAGCCACCCAAGCACCCCTAAATGGACTATTTTTTTTAAATGAGTATATCAAGAATGGACTATTCAGCCGTAAAAATTAAGAAAATGCTGACACAAGCTATGACAGGGATAAACCTGGAGCACATTATGAGGACCCAAATAAGCTAGTTACTTTATTTATTTATTTATTTATTTATTTATTTATTTATTTATTTTTATTTACAGGAGGTACCTAGAGTAGTCAAATTCATAGAAACAGAAAGTGGAACGGAGACTGCCAGGAGCTGGGGGGAGGAGGGGGTGGGGCATTGTTGTTTAACCGGTACAGAGTTTCAGTTTTGCAAGATTACAGAGCTCTGGGGATTGGTTGTACAACAACAATGTGAAAATATTTAACACTAGTGAAATGCACTCTTAAAAGTGGTCAAGATGGAGATTTTTGTTGTGTAGTTGTTTACCACGATACAAAATAAGAAATAAGATTTTTTAAGTTTTTAAAAATTTAAACCCATGGTGGTGGGGGGGGGGGAGACAACCCAGGAGCTTTTACATAAAAATCCAGTCTCTTCTTCTTTTTTCTTTTTTTCTTTTTAAATATTTTATTTATTTATTTATTTGAGAGAGAAAGAGAGCACAAGCAGGGGGAGTGGCAGAGGGAGAGGGAGAAGCAGGCACTCCTCAGTAAGCAGGGAGCCTGATCCGGCATTTCCAGGAACTCCTGGAATGTCACAAGCCAGAGGCAGACGCTCAACCCACTGAGCCCCCCAGGTGCCCCCCAGTCTCTTCCTGAAGCATGAGTTGCTTTCCCCACACAGAGCTGGCGCTCACCTACAGCTAGAATGGGCTGTGCAGGGCACAGCTTCTCCTTCATTCCAGGCCTATCACCTACCCTCCAAGGACATGCGCCCCAAGGCATCGGAGTTGGAAGACTTGGTGTGTGGTTCAGCCAATATGGCAGAGACACCCCTAGCATCTGCCCCTCTCTGGGAGACAATGATGACAAGTAATCTGAAATCCAAGGAACAGAGCGCATGGGCCTCCCTGACAGCTTCCAAGGGCCAGCTACCATGCAATACTGCACGCTATCCTCTTGGCCAGAGTGCGGGATGGAATTACAGCAGCCACAGGCGGCCCAGTAGGCCAATTCTCCTCCCCATCTAGACTGTTAGCACCCAACACCAAGTAAGGATTTCAAAGCCTGTCCCTCCAAACTCAAGGCTGAAGGTCTCTCTGTCCCGAGAGAGCCACCCCGAAGAGTGAGTGCTTTACCACTTTCCCACCTTGGCTTCGGGTCAGCAGAGAAGCTAAGATCAACAAAGGTAAGGGGCTCTTCCTTCAAAATGCATGTGGAATCCAAGCCTTTCTCACCACCCCCCAGCGCTACTTCCCTCTTTTTTCTTTTGTCCAACTCTTGCGAGATTAGGACTACAAGCCTCCTACAAAGACCTTGAAGCCAGAGCACTCCTGTTTAATGTAAATCTTCTCAAAACCCTCCAAAACTTCCCCTTGCACTCAGAGTAAAGGTCAAAGCCCTCAGAAATGCAAGGCCCCCCACAAGGCCTGACCTAATTGGTCCCTAACCACCCCTCCTAACTCCGTGTCAGCCTCAGGCACTCCTCCCCAAGCAAAGGTGGTGCCCTCCAGCATGGCCTTGGCACCAGACAACCAAATGGCCTGTTGTTTGCTTCCTTCCCTTAGGACTTCATTCAAGGTCTTTTCCCGCCGTCCCATCCAAACTTTCTCACACACCTGCCTGTCTGATTTGTTCCCCTCAGCTCGTGTTACTTTACACCACACTAGCCAACTCTGGCCTTGTTTTACTGACTGTCCCCGCATTAGAATTCGGGCTCCCCAAGGGCAGAAATCTTTGCCTCTTACCCCTGGCTCTAACCCCAGCACCGTGCACCGTGCCTGACCCACAGGAGAACACAGTAGTTGTTTAAGTCACAAATGAAATGTCAAGTCACAGTCAATCTGGTCTATAGTAAATTGCTACCCTGCCCTTGCCTCCTGTTGGGATGAAATGCGCTCCGCGCCCCCCCCCCCACCACCATCCTGGAATGCACAGCCACAGGGACTGGGGAATTCTCATCAGCAGACTGCACCAGACCATCACAAATGCAGTCAAATGCTCTACCACTGAGCTATACCCTAGCCCCTAGTCCATCACAAATGTACATGGGGGCCATCTCTGCCAGGCAATGGGCAACTTGCCCTGGAAAAGCTCACACTTTTACACTGTGTTAAAATGTGCAATCCACTGGCATTTTATATTCTTTTAAAGATTTTACTTATTTGAGAGAGAGAGAGACAATGAGTGGGGTGAAGGGCAGAGGGAGTAGGAGGTTCCCCACTGAGCTTGGGAGCCCGATGCTAGGCTGGATCCCAGGACCCTGAGATCATGACCTGAGCCAAAGGCAGGTGCTTAACGGGCTGAGCCACCCAGGGGTCCCTGCACTGGCATTTTCAACATGCATTTCCATTAGTGTAAACTCCTGGACAGGTCACAGAGCCTGGCTTCCAGGAACCAGAGGGCAGTGTCCAGCACCTCATACCCTGAATGGACCCAGCGCAATAGGCTTCAACCTCCCAGGGAGGATATGAGGGCTGGCCCCAGGCCTTCTGGAAGATGTTCCTCTAAACCTGCCAGGCCTAAACACGCCCACCCAAAATACCTCTGATGGGGCAGCAGTGGTCCTACCTGCTGTGGTTGAAACCAGCTTCAGCAGAGAACACATAATAACTCCACCAGTGGGGGTGCCTGGGTGACCCAGTGGGTTGGATAATTGCCTTCGGCTCAGGAGTCTGGGGAACAAGTCCCACATCAGGCTCAGCCGCTCAGCAGGGAGTCTGCTTCTCCCTCTGGCCCTCCCCCCTCCTGTTCTCTCTCTCAAATAAATAAGTAAAATCTTATAAAAACAATAACAAAATCCCTCCACTGGTGGGTCTGCAGAACTTTGAACAATCATTAAGTGACTCCCTGAAATCTGAGTGCAGGCAAGTCACCAAGATCTGAAAAGTTAAGAGGTAGGGTGAGAAAATCAAGAAGTTCCCAGGTGAGGAGTGGAGGTAATGCAGGCCAGACAAGACCATTCTCCCCGTGAGTGCTTGGGCTGAGCCTACCCTCACTTTCCCAAAAGCCGAGAAAGCCAGTATATGGGAACCACCACCAGCAGTCACTGGAGGCCTAGAAATTCCAAAATTAGAGCCATGCATGAATTACCGAGCAGCAAAGACACACGAGTGTTTTAGCCAAAAAAAATATATTCTTTCCCTGTCCTCGAGGGGAATGCCAAATCATTCGGTCTCCTACAGCGTTGCCAGGTAACAAGCTAGCAGAAAGCCCAGTTGGAATCTCTTGTCCAACTCAAATACTACGTATTGGCCCCATTAATAAACCAACGGCTTGGGGACTTCTGGAAAGACCTATGACTAAAAAAGCTTTCTTTCTTACCATCAGTGCAGGGAGAAATAGGAAGAACTGGAGAATGTCTTTAACTCCCACTCTATTTTGCTAAAGTTGGTACCATATGGGAAACTCCGTTTTGAGGCCTGTGGCCACTTGGAACCTTGAGAGTTGCAAGACTGACTACTTAGAGACAAATCCCAGAAATACAAAAGCAGAAATGCCCCCTTTCTTCTGGGAAGGAGAAGGGGGGTGGGCAAGCGATCCCCCCTCCCCTCCTCAATTCTGGTCTGCTGCTCCCACACTCGTTAAAGATTACTCTACCCTAACTGTAAGGCCAGGCTGCCTGGGCCCCACTCCCTCTTCCTCACTGTCCTGGCTCACCCGGAGGGGCTGCAGGCAAGGTCAGGAAAGAGGTTTCCGTGGCAACAGGCAAGAGACAGGGCCAAGGGACCCACATTCTCCCTGCCTTTTGTAGCTGGCAATGGAGAGTCACAGTGCCGGCCAATGCCCACATGGCACGGGGTTGGGGGTGGGGGGCAGCCGAGGCTGGTAAAGGAGGTTCAGGCTAAATCCTGCTTATTCTGACCTGTTTACTGTCTTCTCTCCTAAGCGGGACATTAAGGGTGCCACAGAAGCAGTGAGGAACTATTCAGGAAAGTGGCATTTTTGGTGCCGCTGCCCAACCGCCCAGTTGCCCAGGCGGGAGAGAGAAGCGTGCCAAGGCGCAGTGCAGGGGCGGACTGGTGAGAAAAGGCGGTCGGGCCGCGGAGAGGCCCCTGGATGGAGACTTAAGTGAGACCGGAGCGGAGCGGGGTGGGGGGTGGGGGTCATCCAAACAATAGGGAAAATAAAAAGGACGCTCCTCCAGCTGTCGCGTGAAAAGCTCCAAAAATAGCGGCCGCGGGCCTGACAGTGGGGAGGGATTACGGAGCGCCCGGCTGCAAAGGAAGGGGAAGTGGATGCCTCCTCCCCGCCTTTGTCTGAGCCGGGCCCGCGCCGCGACCCTCGCTCTCACCGGAACACCGGGCCGGGTGCACCCGCCCCCTACTCGCTCGCCTGTCCCTCTCCCGGGGACGCAGGGCAGGCAAGATACCCTCCGGGCCCGGGACCCCGCCCGCGCAGGGCCGCAGGACCCGCCGCGCCAGGGCCACCAGTTGCCACCGTCCTTCAAGTCCCCACCCCTGCGCCTGGCGCGGCCAGAGAGCCTGGGGCCGGGGAGCGCGTCGCCGCCCCCCGCTCTTTGTGTGTGTGCCAAGCCCGCCGTCCCCAGTCCCGCGATTGTCCCGACTCGGGCTCTCAGGTCTCCGCCCGGGAGGCCGCCACGTCGCGGTACCGGGCGCGCGCCCCGCCCGGACCCTCCTCGTGGCACTCACAGTGGCGCCGCGGCTGCTCCTGCAAGTTGGGGCCCGTCGGGGCTGCCGACGCCCAGGCCGGCCCGGAGCCGGAAGCTCTGCAGAGCGAGCGTACGACCCGCAGGTAGCCAGCCATCCCGCCAAGCATGCCAGATGCGAGCGCCGGTGCTGCCCCCGGCTGCCTGGCTGCGAGCAGCCCGGGCCAGCCCGGCGCCCCGGCGCGGACAGGGGTGGGGCGGGGCTGCCGGAGGCCGCCACCCGATTGGGCCTCTTCGGGGAGGAGGCGGGGCCGGGGCCCGGCCGGGCCGGACTTCTCCGCCCCCACAACCCCGCACTAACCCGACCCCGCCCCAGCGCCCAGCGCGCGCTTCCATTGGCGCCAAGGGGCTGCCGCGAGAGGCCGAGAGACCCACCCGGACCCGCGCGCTGGGGCGGGAGCTGAGGGCTTAGGGCTCCTGTCAACGAGGCTAAACCCCTCTCTCCGGGATTCCCTATTTAAACCTGGGTGTCCGTTGCTGACAAATCAGCTTAAACCCCCAAAGTGAGCAAACGACTGCGCCCTTCGCGTCGGCTGGGCTGAAACTCCTTGGCATGAACCAAGTGCGGCTTCGGTGTTCTTGGACTGAGGCCACCGGCACGTCGGCTCTCAAGTTCGCGCTCGCGGATACTCCGGTCCCGTCCACGAGTTGTGCAGACTGACCCGAGTCAAGAGCTGAAATCTCTCCTCCTCTGCTTCTCACCAGAAGGTCAAGCTGCTAATCCTCGAAGTCCTTCAGCCCGGCCAGACTCTGTTTTCTCCCGTCCGAAATGGGAACTACCACGGTAGCCGGGCTGCCAGGAGAGGTGGGTGACATAACGCAAGGAAAAGTGTTGGGGCACACCCTCGGCGCAACGGTTGTGGTTGGTGCTTATCACGATTTATCTGGAAGCGGTCAGGATCCACCCTGGCAAACAGTCCCATCTTTGCCTGTTGGCCTGCGGAAGACAATATGATTGGTTCTGTTACAGGCGACCCAAGTCTCATCGCCCCTGTTCTGGAAATGAGACACCAGCTGGGTCGGGTTTTATTTAGAAAAATCTGACCCCAGCCCCCACTTACCCCGTCACACCAACTCCACATACTAGCAACCTCTTTCTGCCCTGTGTCCCCAGCTCTCCCCTTCATTGCCTCACCGTCCCCACTGCCAGATGGGGCTGGGCCAAGAAAGCGACCTTGAGTTACTGACTTCAATGCTTACTTCTCCCTGTCCCAACCAGGCAGAACTACTGCTTTGGCCCTGAGGTCCAGTAGACTGGATCCAAAGGGAGATTGATTTTGGACACCCCTCCCCGCCAAAGTCTGAGGTCTCAGTCAAAGGCCTGATCTTGGGCCAGCCTGTCCCAGAATGACTCATGATGCCTTTCACTCTGTTCCTAGTCCTCTTGTTCAAAACAGAGGTAAAGACCTTGAGAGCCCCTGGTATTTGCCTTTTTGCCATCCTGGTATTATCAGGCACCTGGGCTTCTGTGTCCATACCTGTCAACAGGGAGCGTGGACCCCCTGAAGATCCTTGTAGCCTAAACAGTGAGATTGGGTTATGGATGTCAGCTGCCCATACTACCACTTCGGAAATGGCCGTGAAGAAATTGCTGCTCCCCCCAAGGGGCTCATCTATTCCTTTGTGTGGCAGACTAGGGTGTCAGGAGCCCTAGTGAGAGGCAGACCTGAAGCCTAGGGGTGTTCCAGAGTCAAAACGTCACCTGCAGAGAGGGTGGGGGCCCATGTATCCTTTGCAAACCCAGCAGTAGCCCAGGACTGTGAGACGAGGTCTTCTGATTAAACCTCCTCTTGCTTCCTGCGTCCCTGGGTTCCCGCTCTATGCCAGCCCTCCCCATAAGGTGCCTGTTTGGTGAGACAGTTCACATTTGTTCAAAGAGATTAGGACACACACTCAAAGTCACAGAGCTGGGAAGCACCAGAACCCTAGCTCATACCCATATACCCGGCTCACAGTCTGTTACTCTTTTAAGAAGAAAGAAGGAGCAAACAGAGTCCCTATTTACTGTACTTGTTTGGAATTCCTGGCAGTGCCAGCTACTGGACCAGAAAGCCACTTTATAGAAAGATGGTGTGTAAAGGAAAAATGCCCAGATCCTCCAGTGTGGGGTCAGCGGAATTGCAAACTCATACACTTCCATGTTCTAATCAAATGGCAATTAGTTACTGAATCGAGGTTTTCTGCAAGTTTCACGTGGAGGCACCAGACTCAGTCTCTACCCCTGGGGAGCCAGACACAAAGCTGTGCCATCCCCACAAACCGGGTACAGGAAGAAGGTGTCCCAAGAGGAGCTTAAGTGGGGAGCAAAGCACCAAAGACAAAATTACTTCTGATGGGGGAGACCCTGGTTGGTTTAGGGCAGGACTGCACATCAGGCTGGCTCTTAAGGATATTTACCACCTGGGAGGAGCTTGGACAGACTGTCTGGGAGAGGGAGGGACTTGAACTTCCCCCGGTGGACCCTCTAGAGCACAGTGTGTTTGTTGGCAGGGGTAACATCTGGCAACAGCAGTGACAAGACGTTGAGGACTTGGGGATCGGCCCTGGGCTGGGGAGGTCTGAGTCCCTGAAGGAGGGCCGGGCCTCACCCAAGGTCCTGGCAGGACCCTCAAGACCTGAGGTGTTATAGAGATGGAATCGGCAGGAATCGCTGCGGGCAGGACTTGGGCTGGGGGAGGAGTCAGAGTGACTCAGACTTCCATCCCTGGGGCTGGAGGGATAGTCATGCCATTATTAGAATCAGAAAAGAGGAGAAGGCAGGGTATGTGTGTGTGTGGGGGGGGGTATGTGTGCCTGTGTTGATAGCCAAGCTATTTATGGTTCGTTCGTTCTTTCTTTCTTTCTTTCTTTCTTTCTTTTTTTCTTTTTTAAGATTTTATTTATTTGACACAGAGAGAGATAGCAAGAGAGGGAACACAAGCAGGGGGAGTGGGAGAGGGAGAAGCAGGCTCCCCGCCGAGCAGGGAGCCTGTTGTGGGGCTCCATCCCAGGACTCCAGCCAGGATCATGACCTGAGCCACCCAGGTGCCCCTATTTATGGTCATTTCTAAACTGATGTCCCTGCCCGAAGTCTGTCCCTTCCCCTTCCCAGTCACACTGCCGCAGGCCTGAAGCACAGCCCTGAGCAGTCACTCCCCAGCCAGCTCTGGACAGTAGCTCTCCAGACCCCATACAGTCAAGTCTGATGGCTTGTAACATTTACCGACCTTCACCTCCTCACCATCCTTCTCTCCTACTATTTCCTCTCCCCCAAAACTCTAAATTTAGCCATTCCTCCAAGTAGTCCCTGACTCTGAGCCTTCCTACAGCCCGTCCTTCCAGCAAGTCCCACACCCACCCCACCATCCCACCCCACACTCCCCAACCCCCCACACCAGTCAAGACCACCTTCTCAAGCCTGCTCTGGTGTTGAGGGGCACACAGCATTCATATACACCTAAGTCATCATGCAAGGTAAACAATTCCCCCACAATAAAAGAGCACCATTTACTACTTTATTTTTTTTAAGATTTTATTTATTTATTTGACAGATCACAAGTAGGCAGAGAGGCAGGCAGAGAGAGAAGAGGAAGAAGGCTCCCTGCTGAGCAGAGAGCCCGATGCGGGGCTCAATCCCAGGACCCTGAGATCATGACCTGAGCCAAAGGCAGAGGCTTTAACCCACTGAGCCACCCAGGCGCCCCACCATATACTACTTTAATTTTAACTTTGTCAAAGAAATCTGTGGACAATAATAGGCAGGGTCCAGAAGTGAACTTGGAAGATTTTATTTTTTTTTAAGATTTATTTATTTATTTGACAGAGAGAGAGAGAGAGAGAACACAAGCAGGGGGAGTGGGAGAAGGAGAAGCAGGGTGTGGGGACCTCAAGCCACTGGGGGTGTCAGGGAGATGGATGTGTAAAGAGGCCATTTTAAAATTACCGTGGATGTGGTTAGAGGGAGTGTGGGCTAGTATCTCTCTGGAGGGTAACTGGGTAGCCTCCATCCTTTTATAAAATGCACATTCACGTTCATCCAGAAATTCCACTCTGAAGGACTGACACCATGGAAATACTCACCAGATTGTTTAGAGACATAAAAGAGCAAGGTATTCACTGCGACACTGTTTATATACCAGGGGAAAATTAGGAATGACTTTATGTCCATTGTCAGTTATACTAAGAATGAGGTAGACTTATATTTGCTGATGTGAAAAATTGTAATGTGATACATTAAGTGAAAATAGAATGTTGCGGGGATGCCTGGGTGGCTCAGTCCATTAAGTGGCTGCCTTCAAGCCCTGGTCACGATCCCAGAGTTCTGGGATCAATCCTGCATCAGGCTCCTTGCTCATCGGGGAGCCTGCTTCTCTGCCTCTGCCTGCCACTCTGCCTGCTTGCGCTCTCTCTCTCTCTCTCTGACAATTAAGTAAATAAATAGATCTTAAAAAAAAAAAAAGTTGCAGACAACTACCCTATCAATATATACATACATATGTGTGAAAATTACATATATGTGAAAAATTGAAGCCACATAAACGGGGGGGAGGGGTGAGGGGAGACTCTCAATTTCTACTATATACAATTCTGTGTTTGAATATGATATAATAAGCCCCTATTAGTTTTATAACCAGAAAACGAACAATCAAGATGCAGGTTTTTGGGGGTTTTTTAAAGATTTTATTTATTTATTTGACAGAGCTATCACAAGTAGGCAGAGAGAGAGGGGGAAGCAGTTTCCCTGCCAAGCAGAGAGCCCAATGCGGGACTCGATCCAAGGACCCTGAGATCATGACCCCAGCCAAAGGCAGAGGCTTAACCCACTGAGCCACCCAGGCGTCCCAAGATGTAGATTTTTTATTTTTTAAAACAAATCGCCCCAGTAAATTAGGTGTGGTACAGCAGGAGTACTCCAGGAGCTTCCCTTCCATCCAGGGGGACGTGAAGGGTTAAAGAGGCTGGGGGAGGGGAAGAGGAAGTGAGGTCAGGAAAGAAGAGTGAGGGGCCCTGCGAGCAATGCTGGCTGCCTGGCGGCAGGCCACGCCCCTCCGCTGGGAGCCGCCGCCCCCCGGCCTGCTGCCTCTGTGCCCCGGCGCAGTTCCGAGGAGCACAGGATGAGGAATGGTGATAACTTAAGTAAACTGAGGTGGAGAGGAGGATAAGATGGTGCCACCTAGAGCA